TTGTCCCCCCCCCCCCCACCCTCTTGCATCCCACGCCCAGCCGTGGGTGCTCACCCAGCTGTGGGTGCTCACCCAGCTGTGGGTGCTCAGTCGTTTCTCCACCTCTCCCAGGCCAACCTGGTGGCAGCTTTTGAGCAGAGCCTGGTGAGCATGACGTCCCGCCTGCGGCACTTGGCTGAGACCGCCGAGGAGAAGGTGGGTGCTGGGTGGGTGCTGGTGGTGTGGAGCATGGGGCTAGGGGAAAGCAGGGCTCGGGGTGAGTCTGCTGTGGCCCTGCCCGCCCCGGGGCTGCTCTCAGGGCGAGCCCTGTGCCGTCGGAACGCGCCCCACGGCTCCCGGCTCTGCTCCCCCAGGACACGGAGCTGCTGGACCTGCGAGAGACCATTGACTTCCTGAAGAAGAAGAACTCGGAGGCCCAAGCTGTGATCCAGGGTGCCCTGAACGGCACCGATGTCACCCCCAAAGGTAAAGCACGGCTCGGCAGCCCCTCGCCCTGGGGGCTTGCAGCCCTTCCTGAGCCCCCTGCACAAGCCCCGGTGGGCTGCTGCTGCCTGGGGCTGGCACAGGACACAGGGAACACAGAATCCCAGAGTCCCAGCATGTTCGGGGCTGGCAGGGACCTCTGGGGGTCACCCAGCCCAACCCCCTGCCCAAGCAGGGTCACCCAGAGCAGGCTGCACAGCACCGTGTCCAGGCGACCCCCACCCTGCAGATATTTAGAGGCATTTCGAAGGTCCCCTCGCAGCCTTCTCTTCTCCAGGCTGAACAAGCCCAGCTCCCTCAGCCTCTCCTCGTAGGAGAGATGCTCCAGTCCCCTCATCATCCTCGTAGCCCTCCGCTGGACTCTCTCCAGTAGCTCCTCATCTTGCTTGAACTGGGGAGCCCAGCACTGGACACAGCACTGCAGATGGGGCCTCACTGGGGCAGAGCAGAGGGGAAGGAGAACCTCCCTGACCTGCTGGCCACACTCCTCCTAATGCATCCCAGGCGTGATGTGTTCACACGGGAGGTAGGGTGCCCCGGGCAGCAGCTCTTCCCCGCCTGGGACCCCTGAGCATCTGAATCCAGGACCGAAGAGCTGCGTGGGGGTGACAGGATGGCCGTGTCCCTGGTGCTCCTCCTCGCTGGGCCCTTTGCCGGCAGCTGAGTTTTGGCTGCTGATCTTGGCTTTGTGACCGCGACCGCTGTTCCTAGCCCCGAAACCCCAGTGAGAGCGCAAGGCGCTGGCGGGGAGGTGACTTGGGACAGGAGAGGAACGATGTGTGCTCTGGGCATCTCCCTGGGGTTTAGGGTCACTGTCCCGAGTGGCAGCGTCCGTGTGGTGTCTGAGCCCCATGTCATCCTACGAGGCGGCTCTGAGAGCTGAGAAGGTGTTTGGGTGGGGGGTGCAGGGCGGGTAGAGTGCGGGTGGCTCTGGCACTGGGGCAGGAGCAGCTTGCTGATATCTCCTTTCCTGGTCTCTCCTGCTGCTTAGAGCTGCGCATCAAGCGGCAGAACTCCTCTGACAGCATCTCCAGCCTCAACAGCATCACCAGCCACTCCAGCATCGGCAGCAGCAAGGACGCCGACGCCAAGA